GGCTGCTCGTGTGTTACTCACCTACATAGACAGGACAGCTCTGCTTTGGTTACACCATGAGGGAGAAAGTCCTCTAATCCCTCGAATGCTTACAAGACAAATGACTGGAAGACATCTCATGTTTCTTATTGGAGGATTTTATAGGGTCAGTTTGAGAGTGTTGATTGTGTTGCCAGTATTTATATGCTCATTTATTCAGCACCAACAAAAGATTATAAGATCTCAAGAGCAGGACCAGGTCTTACTAATTTCTGTATCCACAAGTAGATGAATGAATAACCGCATGTAGTTTCTGTCCTGAGGGAATCCTCGGTCCAGTCTGGGAGACCGACAAGAATGTCAGCAATGATGGCACAGAACACACAAAGTTCCTCGAAATGATGGAGGTGTACAGGTGAAGAGAATCTATATAAATCTCTGGGGCTGAAAGAGGGTCTGGAAAGACTTGAATAGGAGATGGTCTCAAGTTCATCTTGAAGGGGTTTTTCAGGTGAAGAAAGAAATCTGCATATCAAGCCAAAGAACATGTTTTTAGAAACCCAGAGAGGGTGGGAAGCTGTTTAAAGACGAGACCACAAGAAATGTGGGAAGAGGCCATGCTAGCAGAACATGAGGCTTGAGAGACTGGCTGTGGCGTGGCCACATCACAGAGGCCTCATAACACGTTAAAGGATGTGAATTCACCTAACTCTGCTGATGGGATGCCATGGGGGCAGGGCAGGGAATGGGGAGGCTCAGATCACCTGGTGTAGTTAGATCTCAGCCCCTCTTGTCACCCAGAGCTGTAGAAGACCAGGACAAACTAAACCACACATCAAGTTCCTGTTCCGGGCCAGATGACGGCGTAGGTAAACATACGCGCCTCCTCCCACAACCACATTAAAATTACAACTAAACTATAGAACAATCATCATTCAAAATCGCCTGAAATCAAGCTGAATTGAAGTCCTACAACTACGAAATTAAAGAAGGCACATTGAGACTGGTGGTAGGTGTGGAAGCACTAACGGTCTGGTCCCACACCAAATCAGGAGGGGCCCAGCGTGTGTGGCTCACTGGTTGAGCATCGACCCATTCAACAAGAGGTCGCTGGTTAGATTCCCTGTCAGGGCACATGCCCAGGTTGTGGGCCGCATCCCCAGTGGAGGGCATGCAGGAAGCGGTCAGTCAATGTTCTGTCTCATCGATGTTTCTATCTCTCTCCCTCTCCCTTCCTCTCCCTCTCTCTCTAGTCAGTAAAGAAAAAAATATTTTTAAAAGAATCAGGAGGGATACCTTGGCTGTGAAGGTCCTCCTTGAGGAGTGAGGGGTCCCTGTCCCACACCAGGCCCCTCAGCTCAGGGTTCCAGTGCCAGGAAGTGAAGTCCCCATAACTTCTGCCTGTAAAAACTGTCAGGGATTGAGGCTAAGGGAGGCTGAGGCTTCTAGAGTCCCAGGCAGTTCCTCTTAAAGGGCCAGCACAGACTTAGTTGACTGGTACCCTCCAGGCTCCAGCGTAGGGAGGCAGCTTGAAAGGCACCAGAGACATACAGAGAACTGAGATGTTGGCATTGAGGCAAGAGCTACAGGGCAGCTTTCTCTCAGACATGCTGGTGGAAACTGTTGTTCCTTTGGTGAGCCCTTCCCCCATGGGGCCAGCAGACGGGCACCATGTCTGGGACTGCAGCAACCTGGCCCATACTGTTTGTTCCACCTGGGTGAGTCCCTGAGGCCCTGCCCCACCCAATTTTCAGGTCCACCCAAGCTGTTTCCAGTGGATTTACCATAGGAATGGCCTGTCTTGGCTCCTGTTTCAGGTTTTCCTAAATTCTCTCAAAAAAAGCAGCATCTGGCCTCAGCAAGCCCCAAACCTCTCAGTAAGTAAGTAGCCCCAGGCCTGGCACTAGGAGCAGCCAGCTTTGGTTCACAACTTGACTTTGCCTGGGCATCTCTAAACCCAGCACAAGAAGCAGTCATTGGCAGATCACTTTGTAGCTTATATCTGGTGGTCCCGGATAGAACATAGGCAGTGGCTGACCTTGCCCCAGAGCCAGCACACCCAGTGGACAGCTTCAGACCACATCGAAACACCACCACCCAACCACCTCCACAAGCGACACACTAAACGAGTAGAGTCAGTGGGTACCAGAGCCCTGCTGAAGTAAGTCTTGCTCTTTGTGATGGGCCCCTGCACAGCTGGTCCTCCAAGGTAGTCAGAGGTCAGTGGGCACAGCCAGTCCTTGCAGCTGATCAACCTGAGTAAATCCCTCCCATTGACATGCCAACAGTAATCAAGACTCAATTACAACAGAAGGGTGTACAGTCCACACTAGGGGTGCACCTCGAGGGCCCAGCTGGGGTGATCAGGGAGGCTGTACCACTGGACCCACAGGACCTCTACTACATAGAAACAAACACAGGGAGGCAGCCAAACTAGGAGTCAAAGAAACATGTTTCAAATGAAAGAACAGAACAAAACTCTAGGAAAAGTACTAAACAAAATGGAGATAAGCAATCTAACAGATGCAGAGTTTAAAACACTGGTTATAAGGATGTTCAGTGAACTTAGTGAGGGCCTCAAGATCATAAAAAAGGACCAGTCAGAAATGAAGGATGCACTAACTGAAATAAAGAATAATTTACAGGGAATCAGTTGTAGAATAGGTAAAGCCAAGAAGCAAACCATTGGTTTGGAATATGAGGAAGCAAAAAACACCCAATCAGAACAGCAAAACGAAAAAGGTATCCCCCAAAATGAGTACAGTGTAAGGAATCTCGAACAGCTTCAAGGGTACTAACATTTGCATCATGGGGATGCCACAAGGAGAAGAGAGAGAGCAAGAAATTGAAAACCTATTTGAAAAAATGACAGAAAACTTTCCTAACTTGGTGAAGGAAACAGACATACAAATTCAGGAAACAGAGAGTCTAAAACAAGATGAACCTAAAGCAGTCCACACCAAGACACATCATAATTAAAATGCCAAAGGTTAAAGACAAAGAGAGAATCTTAAAAGCAGCAAGAGAAAAGCAGTTAGTTATCTACAAGGAACTCCCATAAGACTGTCACTTGATTTCTCAAAAGAAACTTTGCAGGCCAGAAGAGAGTGGCAAGAAATATTCAAACTGATGGAAAGCAAGAACCTACAACCAAGATTACTCTATCCTGCAAAGCTGTCATTTAGAACCAGTGGACATATAAAGAGTTTCTCAGACAAGGAAAAACTAAAGAAGTTCATCACCACCAAACCAGTATTATATGAAATGTTGAAGGGTCTTCTTGAAGAAAAAGAAGATCAAAACTATGAACAGTAAAATGGCAATAAATACATATCTATCAACAAGTGAATCTACAAACAAAATGAACAAGCAGAACAGAAACAGACTCATAGATACAGAGAACTTTTTGTTGGTTACCAGATGGGAGGGGATTTGGGGGAATGGGTGAAAAAGGTGAAAGGATTAAGAAGTACAAGTTGGTTGCAAACCTCAAAGTGAAGGGAAGGGAAGGGGGAGGGAGGGCGGGAAGAGATAAACCAAAGAAGTAATATGCAGATATGCATAACCAAAGGACACAGATAATAGTGTGGGGAAGGCAGAAGAAGCAGGATGGGAGCAGGGAAGAGGGGGTTAATAGGGGAAAATGGGAGGACAACTGTAATACATTCAACAATAAAGATAAGTTTAAAAAAAAGAAATTCTTATTCCTCCCTGCCCAGTCCTCTCCAGGTTCTTCCATTACATAAAGTGAATGAAAAGAAAACACCCACCCAGGATTTCCCTTTAAAAAATTTTTTTTCTTTATTGGTTTTAGAGAGACAGGAAGGGAGTGGGCGAGAGAAATGGAAACATTGATGAGCGAGAACATCGATTGGCCACCTCCTACATGCCCACCACTGGGGATTTAGCCCACAACCTGGGCATGTGCCCTGACCAGGAATTGAACCGGTGACCTCTTGGTGCCTGGGTCGACGCTCAACCACTGAGCCACACCAGCTGGGCCAGGATCTCCCTTTTGGCAGAGCCGTACTTGACCCTTCCACTGCCTTGTGGATTGCACCTGCCTATTTCATTTTTCCTCTCCATCATGTTGCTCTTACTCTTACCCAGTGGAGGACCCATAATAAATTATTACTATTTTTTTAAAACCTCTGTTAAATAAAGAATGATGTATTCCTAATTTGGTACTTGGTTATCCTTGGGTGTGTAGGAACTTCAGTTGGTGGCATACACCAGGCACATCTCTTACCTGTAATTGTGAGGTGAAAGGCAGTGTTTCAGGAATTTCAGACAGCAAGGAGGTGGCAAGACTGCTTCTAAGAGTTGGTGAGAGTGCCGACACCCAGCCTGCCTATCCTCCCTCTGGTCTACAGCCTGCCTGCGCCTCAGCCCCAGAAGAAGCCCTTGAGTGGCGCTCCTCCTGATCTGCTCTCCTTTTTTTGCGAAAGACTTTTCTTCCCCATTTCCCAAATTTAGCCCCCCATTCTCTTCTTGGACTCCCAGTTGTGTTACTTGTTTTCTGGTGCCCACCAGAGGATTGACAGACTGACTTCCCTTCTCTGACATCCATCCTAGAAGGTTTCTAAGCCTTTGTTGACTCTGCCTTTGGTAAAGGAGTATCTGATGGCAGAGGGTGAAGTTGTTAGTGCATCTTCTTGGTTAATTAAAAAATACACAATTTTATTATTAAGGGGATGACGACTTCTGTCTTTGTTACTTTGGAAGTAAAATGTACTATGAAAAAGGTCACTTTTTTTGTTTTGTTTTACTGGTTATCTCTCTCTCTAGGTTAAGCGTGCATTATTATGACAATAAAGAAAACTAATAAAAAATTTCTCAGATTTCACAGCCACATTTTTTGCTGTATTTTTCAGTCCCTGTCCATATGCAGTGATATTAACTAGATACAACTTTGAAGTGCATTTCTTTTTTATGCCACATGATGATCCCAGTTCAAGGAAATTGAAGTAATTGACATATCTTGGTAGTAATGGCTTCTTATTTTGATTATTTCCCTTTAGGAAAGACACTGCTGATCCCGTAACATGGAGGACTGCCTTCATACCTCATCTGAGAATCTGTCCAAATTGGTCAGCTGGGCCCACAGCCATGGGACTATTTGCAGCCTCATTCCTAACCTGAAACACTTGCTTTCGGAAGGTTCCCACGGGAACCTGACAGCAATGTGGGGCTGTAGTGCTGGCCACGCTTATCACTGGCCACTGACAGCTACTTGCAGAGCTGGGTCCCAAGAAAGGGTTTGTTTCCAGGATAACAGAAGTTTTAACTCTGATAGTCCCAGTATAATTGGAGTGCCCTCTGAGACACAAACTAGCCCAGTGGAAAGGTACCCTGGGAGACCAGTGAAAGCGAAGCTAGACTGTAATCGGACCAGAGACTCTTGTGACTTCTCTTATTGCAGTGAGCCTTCTGAACTTGATGAAGCTGTTGAAGAATATGAAGATGAAAACACCTTGTTTGACATGGTTTGTGAGTCTTCTGTTACAGATGAGGATAGTGACTTTGAACCCCAAACCCAAAGGCCTCAAAGCATTGCTCGAAAAAGGCCTGGAATAGTCCCGTCTTCTCTCCATTCAAGTTCCCAGGCTCAGATGGTTGATGAATGCAGCAGTGATGTCATCATCAAGAAAATCAAACAAGAGATTCCGGAAGATTATTACATTGTGGCAAATGCAGAACTGACTGGAGGAGTCGATGGACCAGCTCTGTCATTGACACAGATGGCAAAACCGAAGCCTCAGACTCATGCTGGTCCCTCCTGTGTAGGGTCTGGTAAGCTAATTCCCCACGTAACATCTGCCATCAGCACAGAGCTAGACTCACATAGTGTGTCTGCCTCCCCCTCTGTGATGACCAGACCAATGGTGCAGAAGACTGCCAGGGCATCTCTGGCTTCACCAAACAGAGGACCCTCTGGTGCCCATGGCACCAACCAGCAGGTGGCCATGCAGATGCCTGTGAGCACATCCCATCCTAACAAACAGATCAGCATCCCTTTGTCTGCCCTGCAGCTACCTGGACAGGATGAGCAGGTTGCTGCTGAAGATTTCCTGCCCCATCTGCCCAGCCAGGTGTCCTCCTGTGAGGTAGCCCTTTCTCCCTCAGTTAACACAGAGCCAGAAGTGAGCTCCAGTCAGCAGCAGCCCCAAGTGGCTCCAACCATAACCACTGAGGCCATGGCACAGTGCATACCAGGTATGGCATGTGAGGTGACAGTGAGTCCCTCATCCATGTACATCAGAATTCTGCGCCGTCAGCACTTCTAAAACCAAAGACTCTGTTTACTAGAGTTCAGACCTTTATTATTCTCAGAAAGATAGAAATAGTGAAATGTATTACATCCAGGTGTTACTATAAAGGAAATTCTGAATTAAGGCCATCCATCCAGTTGATGTACCTCAGGCCTGAGAGGACAGGTGTAGGATTGTGCTGTTGATAACGCATGGCTAGAGTTAAGGTTTGTATCTGATCTTAAGGTGGATTTTTATACAGTTAAGTTATTTTTGAAAAGAAAATTTTATTCTGTCCTATTAGTATCAAGGTATTTAGTTGGTGTTTGAAGCCAAAATGATGTTGGGTTAGGCATATAAGGACAATAGACCTAATATTTTTCCATTATTATTTATTTGTCTGAACCAACTTGACATTTTTATTTTAATTGATGTGGCAGTTTGATGAAACAAGTTTGTTTTTTTGTTTTAAAAAAGCAGCAACAAGCATTTCTACAAGAAGTATTTGATTTCTTCTCTCAAAATTTAAGAGAATCACATTACATTTCTATAATATATAAGTAACTGGAATGGATTAAGAGGAGAGGGAAATAATTATTTATAATTCTAACATCTAATGTTCTGTAATTTTAACATGTAGTACTTACTTAATCTGTGTTATTATTATATGAGGGGGGTTGGATGTCATACTTTTAGGTTCATGATTCAAATCTATTAGACCAGAGTTAGAAACATGGAGAAGGATGAACAGAGGATATAGAAAGCAGAAATTTGTGGCATATTTTATTTCATGTTAGTTCCTCTTAAGAAAGTCATGTATTTTGGGAAAAGCTTCCGAGGTACCTGAGGTACCTGTGCCTCTTTACCCTATAACTTTCTAGAATTAAGTTTCTTTACAAAGTGCTTTCCTAATATTAGGGTCAACCTTAAGATCCCCAAAGGAAACTGATTTATGTTTTCCTAACATAGTCATGGTATAGTAAAATATACAATTGAAAATATTTATATCTTGATTTGAAATTCTACTTTTCAGTTTATTTTTCTTACAATTTAAAATAATAGCTTTCTTGAGGTGTAATTCACATACCATAAAATTCACTCTTTTAAAATATACAATTCAGTGGTTTTTGGTATATTCACAGATTTATGCAACCATCACCACTATCTAATTTCAAAACATTTTCATCACTCCAGAAGGAAACCCCATACCCATTAGCAAACAATGTTTCCTTCCTCCCAGCTCCTGTCATCCACTGACTTTTCTGTCTCTAAGGATTTGCCTATTCTGCACATTTCATATAAATCAAGTCCTATTATGTAGTTACTTGTGACGGTCTCCTTGCATTTAGGGTAACTTTCTTTAAAGATTAATCTGTGTTGTAGCATAGATCAGCATTTCTTTTCTTTTTATTGCCAAATAGTATTTCATTGTATGGATAATTCCTTTTTTTCTGTTTTCTCATTTCATCAGTTGATGGACATTTAGGTTGTTTCCACTTTTGGGCTATTGTGAATAATGCTTTGACATTTGTGTACATGTTTTGTGTGGACATATATTTTCATCTCACTTGGGCAACTACCTAGAAGTGGAATTCTGGTTATATGGTAACTGTTTAACTTTTTGAGAAGCTGCCAAACTGTTTTCCAAAGCGGCTCCACCATTTTACAATCTCACCAGCAATGTAAATGGTTCCTATTTCTCTACATGCTCACCAATACTTGCTGTTTTCTATTTTAAAAAATTATAGTTATTCTATTTGGTGTGTTAAGTAGTATCTCATTGTGGTTTTGGTTTGCACTGCCCTAATGACTAACGATGTTGAACTTTTTTTCATGGGATTATTGGCTATTTGTATATCTTCTTTTGAGAAATTCAGATTTTTTTGTCCATTTTCTAATTAGATTGTCTTTTCATTGGTGAGTTGTAAGAACTGTTTATACATTCTAAGCCCCTTGTCAGATATATGACTTATAAATATTTTCTCCCATTCCATGAATTGTCCCTTCCTCCTTTCTCCCGCCTACACTCCCTCCCTTCCTCCTCCTCCTCCTTCCTTTTAAGTTTTACTTCAGTCATTTAATAACAAAATGGTCTTTGGCTAATCTTCACATCATTAGACACAAGGTTATCTCATGCTCAGAAAGTGTTAGTACTGGGAAATCTGACTCTTGATACATATAGGATATAAGTAGTACCTTTGCACTTAAAATAGTTGTGAATCTGGTTTGTTTGTTTCTCTCCACCAACCACCACCACCACTTTTAATTTTTTTTTTTTGTAAAAAAGAAGACTTAACCTGTCAGTTTTCTGCATTCTTACTTAATTTATATTCGAAGGTAGAATTGTATTTTGCAAAGAGTGTTAGTATACCAAAAGAGCATAGTGAGACTGTTATTTATATTCCACACCCTTCCATTAACTTAACCCTGCAAACATAGATGCAACATTTACTTGCATCTGCTTGGAGGAGAGTAAATGAGACATTGAATGAAGCTTTTTACTAAACCAAATATGAGTCTCTTACTATATATTGTTTTGGAAAAAAAGTTCAGCCTGTTGGAAAATTATTTTAATCTATTTATTGTTGTATAGATGACATTTTTGTAGTGTTTTTTTCCTTCTCTCAATGAAATTGTACTTTTTATGATAGCTATAAAAAGCAAACATGGCCAAGGATAGCACATATACAATCATAAACTATGATTTGGCTTTACTCTCACTCACAGGGAGGATTATTTCAGCTTAGAGTTGAACCTTCAAGAAAAAAGCAGTATGAAGAACTGGTGATGGGAATTTCCAATGGAACTATCCTGATATTTTGATCCATTGTTCTGTGGAAGGATATTATACTGCTAAGATGTTATTAGCTTTAGTGAAACACTATTTGGATTGGCAACATCAGTGGGACAGATGAAAATCTGACATTTTTCTATTGGGAATATATAGAAAGTTAGCTTATAATTTACCTTGTTGCACAGAGCCCAAATTAGTCTTTTGGCTATAAAAGGTTTATTTATTTGTTTTTGTATATTTATTTATAGTAAATAATTGTGCTATACAAGTTTTATTTGTTTATTTTTATATATTTATTTATAAATAGTCTTCATTCTAAACATAGATTTTTTAAAATAATTGAATCCAGCACATCCAAATATATGTGAATAAATATGTACAGATGGACCTTACACAGTTAATATGTAAAGCATTGTTTGGGACTAAGCAAAGAAGAGAGGCGCTGAAAGAACTAGCTGAAAGCAGAGTTAGCTGCATTTAAAATGGTTGTTGTATAGACTTTAGTCTTTATCAAATCACTGTAGAAATGCTGCATATCTTTGAATAACATTATTCTAATAAATAGTTTGACAGATGACTATTGAGTCAGTCAGAAACAAAGAGAATTGTTCCACTTTGTTTAATTTATAAATGCCATTTAAATTCTATTCCCCTGGTGGAAAAATCATCCTTATTTTTGTTCAGAACTAAACCCACAAAGTTACAAAATTTTAATCAGAGTGTAGATAAACTTATTAATTTTCATGTCATTTGTATCATACTGCTCAACCCAAATCTTAGCAAATTGTACCAAGAATAGAAGACATACGTTATTAGAAGAATTGCTGGCTATCTCCCAGTAGCTTAGATTCCATTAATTTTTGAGGTTTTTAATTTGGACATCTATCATAAATTTAAATCTCTGTTGCATCATAAGTTGAGAAGCAGTGACCTGGGGCATGCGGGATCCACATTCTGGGGCACATTGTTTCTTCATCTGGGTACCTGGTAACTGAACACATCCTGTGTGAGAGAATTCCCTCCTCTGTGCATCAGCACTTCCCCATTGGAGGGGCCAGAAACTTGCCTTCCAAGCTTGTGTTTCAGTGAGGGCTGTCCTGTGACCTTAGGCACATCAGACTAATCAGAAGGAGCAGAAGACTCGATTTTGGTGAGTATGGTCAGTTTCCAGAGGCACCAGGAGCAGCATTCGAGCTGCAGTTCTGGGGTTCGAGGCCCAGGCTGGAGTGTTGGTGACTGGGTTGTCTCCACCAGAGCAAGTCTGTGGTGTCGGCAGGGCATTGTCTGTATGCACCTCCAAGTTTAATTTAGTCGTGTTCCAGGAAATTCTGTGGCCTTTATTAAATTATTTTCTGCCTAAGTTAGCTAGACTGGGTTTTCATTGTTTTAAAGCAAAGAATTTGGAGGAATACAACCTCTGAACCTAGGAAAGGTGTTAACCTCGCCTAAGTGTTGCATGAAAAATAAAGGTGATTTTCTTTTTGCCACTAGGTTTGTATTTTCAGCTAAAATATATGATATCCCCTTGGTAAGTAATGACCAGTGTCATGATGCCCCTTATCATGTGTTATCTTGCTGTACGAACTACACGCATAGGATGGGAGAGAGCTTCTCCTCACACTAAATTTTCCCTTCTTTTCCAATGAGAGTTTCTACTGAAATGTGTTCTTTGTGGGGACATTTTCTTGTAACATATTCTCTGAACCTAGAATGGGAGAAGGAGATACCTAGTGCCTTTGCTTTCAGCCCAGGGCTTTAAGGGCATTCTGGGAAATAAGAGAAATCCCATGTTGAATATTTATTAAAAGTTAATTTTGAATTATTAGTTTTCCCTTAGGTGTACCTTTTATCATGTCAGTTCCCATGATGCTACTGTTTCCTGAAACGATCTGTTTTATTTCTTTACCATTTCTCAGTTCGATCCCTTGTGGAAGGATATTGTATTGCTAAGAGGGATTGAACAGCAAAATCACCAGGAGGTAGCACCAATAGGAGAATATTAGGAATCTGGACATTGACATTTTGTATTGCCTCAAATATTTTATTTCTTTTCTTCCTTCTTTTGCTTTACCTTCCATTTCTTTATCTCCTTGTATAGTTTTTTTGAGTTGCCATTGGTAGTGCTGGTAAATGTGGGAAGTTTGGTAAGGTCTGGTAAAGGGGAGCGAGCT